TTTTTTTCCATGTCTATTTAAGTGCTATTTATGACACCATGTTTGCACTGAAGCACCGCAGCAATTTCCTAATGTTGTAAACCTGCTCAACATTTGGCAATAAACCCCATTCTGATTCTGATTCTGAAATAGCTCAACCTGAGCTGTCCGTATGATGTTTCATGTCGACACTGGTTACTCTCAGTAAAAGCCTTCACATCCTCCACTCTGTCAGGTTTTGGATGTTTAAACACAGATATTTAAACTCATCCACTTTCACTACCTGTCTTCCTTGCATGTTACATGCTTCATATCTTTGCTGTCCCACCTCTGTGTCCCATGTTTAGTTTGATGGGATTTGTTTATTCCGGTTTCAGCAGTGATAGACAAGTTTCAGTCAGAGTTTCAGCTCACTTTTACCTCTGGATGTTTCATCCAGTTCAGCAGGTCTTGCGGTGTGACTCCGGCTCTGTTTTGGACGTTTAGGGCTTCAGGGCAGCGCTTTCTCAGAGGCACCACCAGGTCATCAAACGCTGAAAGAGCCCCCCCAAAAAACACAAAGTTAACAATTAGCAGCGGATAAAGCTATTTATTTAATTATTAATGTTAATTCTCCAGGTCCTCCTCACCCGTTTTTCCGTGTTTAAGAGCTCTATTGGCCGCGACGTGTAGTGCCGTGTCCCCTTTGCGGTCCCTCTGGAGAACATCGGCTCCGTGTTTCAGCAGAAGCCGCAGAACAGCATCGTCCCCCTGACTGCAGGCCAGGTGCAGCGGGCTCCTCTGCCTCTTACCCTGGGAAAAGTTCACGTCCAGATCCGTGTGTTTCCGTAGGTATGATTTCAGTTTCATCAAACTGCCGTCGTTCACGTACTTCCACACCCGCGTCTGTTTGCGGGACACCATTACTACACACAAACAAAGGCGAGGCTAATGCTTAGCTTTCGCTAACAGGATTCGGTCCGTCTTTTTAATAGGTCCGTAGTTAGCAAGAGCACAGACACAGGTTCCGGGGACAGATAATGTCCTGTGTTACCACAAGATGGCAGCATTAACTATGAAAGTGAATGCCTGCCATTTAATGGGATTATTTTTAAATTATATTTATTATAACTTGCATTGCTGCTAAGAAGGTCGGATCGAGAATATGTTTGTCTGGGATTAAGGTAACGTAGTGTAACATGCAGATAAAAATAAATAAACTAAGCAGGTTACAGGTTTGCCCCTCATCATGTGAAGACAGATATATTGTATTGTATTTCAGTGCAATGTTTCCAGCTTCTTCACAAGGCAAATAATGAGCATTGTCATGCAATGGCCTTCATACATTTCTCTCCTTTTCCATTATCTGCTAGTCTGTCTGCCACAATCCTCTTTGCACTTGTGTTGAATAGGAACCAGACAGTCTCACGTGACACATAAGGAGGTCACCCCAATTACTGCCTTTTAAAAATGCGAAAAACAAATCTCAGGAGTCACTTTTAGGAACCACGTTGCAGGTTATATCAAGATGAACTAAGGCGCCACTCAGTGTTCATCCCCCTTCTCTTTGGGTTTCTGTGCCTCAGCCTGCTTTCATCATGCCACCTGTCCGGAGGTACAGCGCTCAAACTCCACTGTGCCCTGATAAAAGCTTTGCCACATGACTTTGCACGTTGTTTTGAAGTTTGATTTTATGTCCATAACTATGACTAAACCTTGAGCAGGGAAACAACTGTTCCAGCTGCCTGAAAGCTGCCCGACTGTATCTCGCTGTAGAGCAGGGCCTGAAGCATGAATGAAGATTCTTTATTCAGAAGCACCACTTCAGTTTGTCAGCTGCAGACAGGATCACAGGGAAGTCATTTTACTGAGAGACTACACTGTAAAAAGAAATCACTCACAGTTTGGCTGACGTCAATAATCTTTTCTAGTTTGCCTTAAGTACACAGATTTCAAAGTGAATTGAGCTAAGCAGAAGAAATCTTCCTCAAAATGTACAGTTGTAAGTTTGCACAACTCATGAAATGAAGTTCATAAGAAACAAAACTGTCAACCTATAGCACTAACATTCCTTCCTTTTCCAAAAATGAAAGAATTATAAGTCACTAATAGCAGCCTCACAGGCCAACTTCATATCCGCTCTTGCATAAAATGACCTCACAGGCAGCGAACTGAAGAACCAATGCAAAAAAACCCCCAAATATATGTGGAACAATCGTCTTTATCACCCTTATTTCATTCAGTGTAACATCTTAAGTTGTTTTTATCAAATCTTAGTTGCAATCTTTCCAAAAGAAAGCATCTGCAACTGGCAGACAATGGGAAATGCCTGTGGGCACTTATTTTTGTAGTTATTTTGATGTTATACCCCCCCCCCCCCCAAATTATACTTTCTGCAGCAGATTTAAACTCAGGGCCATATCTTCATTTTCCTCTCTCATAACGTCTCTGATTCAGGTTATCTCAGCCAAATTTATGAAGACACAAATCAAAATTGACTTTTTGCTAATGAAGCCGCCATCACACTAACAATTTAAATTAAAACAGAAGTAGCAGCAGATCAATTAAACACTAAGAACATCAGGGGTTGATGCAATTTGATGCTTGTCCACAGACTAGATGCAGAGGCCCTTTATGCTCATATCAATCGCTTATCACAGAATCACAGCTTGACTCATAGAGTGTGATGAAATGAGGGAAACTTGTAACACAGGAAATGATCATTTATTTACAAAACATAATTAAATAAAGAGAACATGTTTGTCAGTAGGTCATTAGAGTAAAGCACGCATGGAAGTGTGGGAGTGTGCAGAGAGCAAAGGATATCCGAGAAATCACGTTGTAGCCAAGCTGGTCCGAGCCAAAATCTGGTGTGGGCTCCTCAGTGAGCCCCTGCAGAACAACAACCCAGAGACACCCAGTGCCTAAGGGGTCATCACACTTTGAAACGTATTACTAAGTTGCTGCATAGTTAAGTCAGAAGTGCCTTTTTAAAGACAGAACAGAGACTTCTGGCAAACTTCATCTACTATCCAAACTGCATGGAGACAAACAAGGTCTGAAGAGGTTGAAGCTCCAGTAACACTTGTAGTATAAAGAGTATAAAGAAGTAACAAAACTGTTCTTTATACTATAAGTGTCGCTGGAGCTTTGACCTTTGACCTCAGATGTTTAAGCCTTGCCGGGCAAAATGATGCATGTGCAGAATTTAACCCAGCAATTCATCTGAAAGGAGAAAGTTTCACTGTGCTCACCTTAAATTTAAGCTCGACAACTGGATATGAAAGAAGGTGGTTCAATGTAAAAGTGCTGTGTGGAACCTTCTGTTAAAAACACACAAAAATCACAATGTTCACTCAATATTACTCAAAGTAGAGTATTTATTTTAGCCTTAAGACATGTCTGCACCCCAGAATCAGCCCTTAACTTATTTTAAGCCTTAGCTTAACCTTAAACCAAGTCTTTAACCTAAAATCGAATGATTTACAATAATCGACTGGCTTTTTTTGTCTCCAAAAGGAAGCAGGGTCGCGTCAGTGTGACTGCGTAAACAAAAACCTGTTTGTATAAACAGATTTATGTCCACACAACATGTAAAACGAGTCAGAACACACAGAAGCACAAACATACTGTGTGTGGTAGTGGATTGTTGGGAAAGAGTCGCTCCAGTGTGTGGCTACAACAACATGCGACAGCTGGAAACTCTGATTTTGTTTTCGCTCTACAAATGAATTTGTTGGGAGTATTAAAGGTTTGTGATCTTCACCTCATTAATGAAACAAATTAAAGCTGCAGCACATAGCCTCTCTGGATGTTGCTCTGATGTAAGTTCTTTTTCGATTTGATGCTCATCAACCGTTACCTGTAGCGCTTGTAATGCTCAAGTCAGTGCAGCTGAGCCTCTGAACTGGCTCAGTGCTGCACTGTGGGCGACAATGCCTCCATTTAGGCCCGAGAGAGGGAAGGATGCACAATGGAGAGGATAGAGGAGAGAATGAAGGGACACTTTGTGCTCGTTGAAGAGGATGATCTCCTCTGAGACTCACATAACCCAAGATCCGGAGTCTCCCAAAGCTTGGGCACTTCCGCTCTTTCGGAAAAGACGTGTCTCCACTAGCGATAGCTGTCTTGTGTGAATGCTTTTGAAATGCCATCTCAGGAGAGACAGAGAAGAGGGACACGTCTGATTTGCCACTTCAAGTCTCACATCTGCAGCTTACTCTATTGTAAACTATGTTGCCTTCAATGTAGTACTGCTTTATTGTCACACATGCTATCAGAGAAAGTAACTTTTCACATTATGTGTCTGCTTCCTTAAAAATAAACTGCAGGAGAGTGTGTAAAGCAGGCAGGCCTCAGGTGGAGCTTTCAGGTCTTGCACAGGGCACTGAATGCAGAGAGATGCTTCTGAATGACAGGATATCCCAGTGCAGGAACTCCTACCTTGCCTGCCCTCCCTTTACTCTTCCTGCTAGGCCTGCTGACTCCTATCCTGTCCATGGGGTCTGTTAATCTCTCGGGACAGTACAGGGAGGAGATCTGGAATACCGGGTGGCAGGAAGCTGAGGGTCTTCCAAGACTCTCCAGGGGTCAGCATCTCATCCTACCACACTATGGCAAGACCAGGCTCAAGGTCTGGTTTAGTGGCTGGGCTGCTAAGATGCTATTGTTAGGCTCAAGGAGAAATGTGTGCACACTTCCTTTGACTATTTTCTGCTTGACCTGAATTATTGGGTTCTGATTTATGACACTTGGACACGTGTTTGTAGCACACAGACTGTCTGAGTTTTAAAGCAACACAATAGCTGTTTGTCACCCATTTATATGACAATGAATCGGTTGAAAATCTTCTTACTTTTCCATTAAGGAAGCAATTTGCATTTACTTGATAAAGAGCTGACCCAGTGTGCTGATGGACCGGGGTTGGATATTTTCACAGGGTTGTGTTTTCTCTGCATTTAGAGGTCGCCTCTAAGGTCAATGATGGTAAGGAAGAAAGAAAAAACCGTGAAGTGAATATTTGAACTATTGTGAAAAAAAAGTGTTTATAATAATTATAAATTGTACACGCGGACACTATATAAGATACACCTTGCTAATAACAGCTTGGAGCCCTTTTTAGTAACAAAACTGATTTAATTCTTCATGGCACAGATTCAACAAGGTGATGGAAACATACCCTGATAGATTTTGGTCAACACTGACATGACAGGATCGCACAGTTCCTGCAAATTTGTCCGCTGCAGATCCATGATGGGAATCTCCAGTTCAATATCATTCCAAAGGTTCTCATTTGGATTGAGATCCAGTGACTGTGGAGGCCATTTGAGTAGAGTAAAATCATCGTCATGTTCAAGAAGCTAATTTGAGATTATTAGAACTTTGTAACATGGAATGTTACCCAGCTGGAAGCAGACATCCCAAGATGGGTGCAAGACACGATGGAACCATGCTTTAATTTTATTTATGCAAAATTTTGCTTATCATTCGAATATTGTAGCACAAATTGAGGTTCATGAGGCCAGGCAACATTTTTCTAACCTTTTGTTGTCCACTTTTGGTGACACACTGCAAACTGTAACCTCACTTTCCTGTTCTTAGGTGACAGGAGTGACACCTGGTGTGGTCTTGTACTTTATAGTTTGAGATGCTGTGTGTTTAGAGATGCTCTTCTGCATACCTTGGTTATAATGTACAGTTATTTGAGTTACTGTTGACTTCCTATCCGCATTGTAGCTCTCCTCTGATGTCTGACCTCACCCAAGTATTTTCAATCAGAGAATTGCCGTTTACTGGATAATTTCTCTTTTTTTTGGACCATTTTCAGTAAACCCTAGAAATAGCTGTGTGGGGAAATTCCCAGTACATCAGCAGTTTCTGAAATACTCAGACCAGCCTATCTGACACCAAGAACTATGCCTCATTCAAAGTACTGAAATCATCTTTAGTCCCCATTTTGATGCTTGGTTGTCTTGACCAAGTACCAAAAGTACC